TTTGCACGTAAATGAATAAACTGGCTTAAAAAAAAAAAAAAGAGAGAGAAAAAGAAAAAGAAAAAAGCTGTATTAACCAAGAAGAGATTTGGAAAGTCAATTACTTTCAACATAGACCAATTAACAGCCAACAAGAGACCACAGTTACAAAACACTGGGCTGTTAAGTGCAGAAGTAGTGACTGGTCATTTTTTATAACACATTATGGTCTGACTGTGTAGCTCTACTTCCTGCTTAGAAAATAAAGGAAGAGCTTTAAGGGCTAATCCTACTCTTCTAGCCATCTTGAGAACAGGCAATAATGTACGTTTGGTCTTGAGTTGAAATTTAAAACTAAACTGTATATTAAAACTAAACTAACAGTGTGGCTCTTTGTGAACTCCTACGGCGGAAAATGTCTCGATTGTGCTGCGTAAAGCCAGAAGAGGAAGTAAGTGAAGCAAACAAGGAGGAAGTGCTGACTGTGTCATGTCGATTCTGACCGAATATGGGTTGTCACTGTTAATTAAGTTTTGCTTGGAGTCGACTCACTTTCATCTTACCCTCTTCGACTTTCAACAACGAACCCCCTCTTTTTCCTCTCCTCTGTGACTATGTATGCACCTCGTTTCCACCCGACTCAGCTGCTCCCACAGTCAAAGCCCAAGCGAAAAGTGTTGCTCAACAAACCCAGGCGTGTACTGTGCTACCGCGACTCTGCTTCATCTCTAAAGCTAAACAATCTGCGTGGCTCATGCGTTAGTGGGGGCCTGGATAAATAGAAGCCAAAATCTCTGGGGAGGACACTGCGGAGAAGTCTGCACGACATCGCATCACAGCATATCCACCCACTCTTCATTTGGGGCTCTTATAACACACTTAACATCCTTCACTTTGATTTGAAAATAGCCATAAAGCCCAATCATAGACCCTGAAGTCAATGGCTGACAAGCACTGATGTTGGCTGAAGTTAAAGTGGTGGAGATAACAAGTGTCAGTCGGTCTTGCATTTTCATTTTTCTATTTGAGGCCCATTTTATCCTCAGCTTCTGTTTAACCAAGTTTCTGTTTTATTAGTTTCCTAGCATCTCTCCGTCATTGGTCAATTCTATAGCATTTTTAAGTGGGCTGACACCCATTGGTTAGTGTCACTGCCACTGCCTTCTCCTTTGAGACAATGGCAGTCTTTGTGTGTAATGCCTGGCTACTGTGTGTGTGTGTGTCCATTTCCTCTCCTTCAAGCACAATTTTTTCCCTTCTTTCTGCACAGTCTCTTGGTCCAATCAAGCAATGATAAAAACGAATTTCACAGAGAAATTGACACAATGTCTAAAAACAGCTTTATCGCCTCATGTCAAATACAGGAGTGGTTCGCATAGACATTTCCTCTTCTCTCTGGTTGCTTTGGCATTTTTTTGCTTCTATGTCTGCAACATTACGGTCATGGTAGCTGGAAGAAAACAATCTTATTGAGGAACTGAGCAACTAGATGAGGATGTACATCTGACAACTGACTAGATAAAATGATTGCTTAATTTAAAAGAAAAAAAAAGAGACTATGTTCAAAGGAAACACCAGGTTACGCCAATGTGTGAAGAAACATTAGAACCATGTATTTCTGATTTAGTTCTGCAAGTGATCAAGTGATCTAGCCTTGGAGGGAAATTTACTCCGATCAACTAAATTTCTACCAAATTTTAGCAACCTGTGTTCGTTTTTATTGCAATAATCAAAATCTGGTGGTACCGATGAGCCCACTTTTAAGCCATCTTTTTCTCGCTGTCATTCAAGCCGTACAACAAATCGACTTCCTCGTTGCAGGCATATAAATAGTCTAAATCTTCAGTTTCCTTTCACATATGACTGTAGACTTTTCAGTGCGTTATTACAAAGAGCATGCACAGCAACACTGGAAAAGCAACCATCCACAGAGGGCTACTATGTGAGCCAATTTGCTGCACACTGACTCTGCTCTAGAGGATTTTTTTTTCACAGTGGTGAAGCGTTACAGCTTTCCAAAGTAAACCACTAGTGGCTTCTTCAATGACATACATTTTTTGGCTTCTCTCTCTCTCTTTTTGACTGCACGTTTAATCTTATCACAAGTGCTTGGCAAAATTATGTTTTTGCAAACTTTGAAACTTTCAGACTTTTATTTCTATTGTTTTTTTTTTGTTTTTTTTTTTACTAAGATCAAGTGATAGTCACACTGCTTATTACTGTAACAAAGTTTACAGACTTTAGTAAAGACTACATACTAGTCTTAAATTATGAAGGGTTGAATAGGTTTACCTGATTACTTGATCTTGAAATTTAAAAATTTATAACGCACAACAAATAAAATTTTCCCCAGGTCATACAATAGTAACATGGTTATAGTTACACTCCAGAAAAGTCTGAAAATTAAGAAAATGCCTACAGCAAAGGAGGGCTTAGCACACGGGGTATTACAAAAACAAAAAAAACAAGAAGCTGCCACAGTAATTTCAGTCATCATCCCAAGATGAGCAATGAGCAAGGGTGGGTAGCCCTGATATCATAATTGCGGACTTGTCCATCACAAGTTGTTACAAATTCTCATTTCTTGCATATAAAGACACGGTTCTGACTCTCACAATGACCAAAGTCGACAAAATGTAGTTAATATTCTATTGAGCATGACTTGAATCATCTGTTAAGTGTTTACTGAGGTTACAGAGAAAGGGAGTCGAGGGCCAATTTCCCACAAACTTATACTACTGGAAGTCTTTGTGTAACTGGAAGAGCAACTCCCTGTTGGCCATTAATTTATTAATTTTTTTTTTTAATGCAGGTTTACCACATTTGGGTGTTCACGTTTCAAAGCTGGAAGCTGCTTCCATCTTATACATACAGTCTGTGGATTAGCACCAATATAACAAATAAACTACTTTTGATCAACTTCACATATAAGCTTTACTTGGCAGAGATGAACCACCTTGAGATCCCACACTCAGTACAAATATCAAAACGAAGCTTTGAGTATTAAACAGTTATAATAAATGTTAGCCTAGCATTAGCAATTACCTGATAGCAAGGTAGCGGCTATGGCTAATAATAAAATGATGCTTGCAAATGTTATCAGTCCCACCCATCTGTAATGTTAATTAGACAGTGTTAATTTAACAGAATTATATTTTCTTTAATGTCCTAGACTAATGCTAAGAAAAGTCTATCGGAAACTAGATAAAAGGTCGCGGTCAACCTTATCAGCTCTGATCAGCAAAGAAATATGGTGCCAGGTCACCAGAAGTACAACACTACCACAGGATAAAATATTGTTGTCTTAGAAAATATATATGCAAACCTTACACGATTCTGTCACTATTTTTCCATTACATAAGACAACTTAAAAACAGTGTTGTTTTGATGTTATTGTTTCTATGGTTCAAGACTTTATTTAGAAAACAATACCTCTTAATTTTTTGTCAATCCACCTCCGGTCTCTGAATCATCCACATACCACTACAACAAAAGATTCATACTGTCAAAATGCTAAAGGTCATCTTGCAGAAATATAGTAGCCTACAGTCGAAACTTGGGTATATATATTATTATTATATATATTATTTACAAATGTCTTGATGTACAAGTAGATGTACTGTGTCAGGATCCTACATGTTCATTACTACTGATAGCGCCTCCTGTGTTACTGCTGGGATCCACTTTTGTGTCCTATAGAAAACCTGTTTATTCAGTTTGGCGGCTTAAACAAATGACTGTGTTTTCTTCATGCTGCGGGGAACCTTTGGGGTTTTTCGATTGGAGTTGGAATTGCCAAGGAGGTGCCTTTATGTGTTGAAGATAATGGAGAAGCATGAATAGTTTTGCCCTATGTGTGGGTAGAACTTGTGCTGTCTTCATTTGACTAAACTAACACATGCATTCTGTAATGTGCATTGTGAAAAAATAAATTATGCCTGGAAAACTTTGCCATGGTTAGTTTCCCAGTTGACATCTAAAGCACATGTGTGCTCAGGCAAAACTACTACCTGTAAGTACAATGTACACAACTTAGGGTCCAAAATCTACTGAAGATGGCAGTCTGTCATAACAACACAAAAAAAAAAATCTGCTGCAAGTCATCTTGCCTACTACCAGTGAGAAAAGATATTCTGGACAAAGTCCTTGCAGGCACAAAATCTGACGGCAGTTCATGTCATTTGGAGTGATATGCTGTAAAAGGAAAAAGTATTCACATCACAACAAAGTCCAACAGCATTCACCCACAGCATACATTAAACTAAAAGGGCTTCTGTAAATATATACAAAGAAGAAGATCAGCTTCTTCCAGTATAGTGTGCACCTCAAGAAAGGCTGCCAGTTACCACTAACCTCACTTTATACTGAGGTTTTTTTGTTTTTTGTAAAAAAAAACAAAAACCCAAAAACAACAAAAACAAAACCCAAATGGAATGTCTTTTCAATAATCTCTCCAAACATAAAGCCATGACAACTCCTTATTTTCGGGACAGACCATACACTTCACTCTGTTTCTAGACAGAGAAATAATACTTCAAGCAAGACAGAAGAAAGAGACAAGCGGGAGGCACCATGTGACTTTTCAAAAAAGTAAAATAAGCTACATGGCGAAACTATGCTCGAGTAGATGGTAGAGATATGGAGGCACAAAAACAAAGCAGCATGCAGGCAGGCAGCTGTAGATTAAGCGCCATTTTGACCACAAACGCTCACATGCTCAAACCACAACACATCTTTCCTCTTGTTTTGATGCTTCTTGAGCTACAGCCAGCCTTGGGGGTGGGAGCAATTGTTCACGCTGTACCTGCATCGTCAGAATTATTCACAATGAACTGCTGCATTAAGAAGGTTTCACACCTTGAAATTCCCGTTTCAGATGTGCTTCATTGAAGACAATGAACACAGCAGCTCAGCAAGGTTGAGAAAAGCATTTGTACTTGAGAAGGCAAATAATTTATAACATAGACACTGATACGATTAAGATGGGCATCTATTCCATCTATTTCATCCAGTTTTCTCACCTTGGTTGTGAATTCTCCTCATACATGCGTTCCTTGCCCTCCTTGAACAAGCTAATGGTCTGCTTGGTCTTCTTTGTCAGGTTCTCCATGAAGACCCGGAAATACTCATTGTCACCCAAAGTCTCCATTTTGCCCTCGTAACGAGACAAAATGGTGCGCAGGTGCTGGTAGGTGTCTGGCAGCAGGTCCAGGATGTAGGGAGGGCTGTTCTTCAGAGCCAGTTTGGGGTTTTGGCATAGCCGCACCACCTGCAGAAAGGGAGGATGTGAGGGGGAGGGCAAGATACGGTTAGAAAGAGTACATAAGATAAAACTCAAGCTAAAAGATGTGGTAGAAAGTGAGTGATGGAAGAGCAGTTAAAAGGACAGAAACAGAAAGATAATCTGCACAATCCATCCCATGTGTCACTATGCATTTTCACTCTCTACATCACTAAGACAGTATTTATATCATACAGAGAATTTCACATAAATTAGCTTCTTCTTGCATTAGAGCACTTATCTTTAGTGCAAAGTAGTGTCTGTGAGCCTAGACAGGAGACGTGCAGAACAGAAAAAGCCAATAAAGTTAAAAAGACAAAGAAAGTGTTCCCTAAACACTTTGTGAAGTTAAGAGTAGTCAGAGTGATGAAAGTCTGTATATTATGCAATCGAAAATATAGACAGAGTAGCAAAGTTTAAATACCTTGTGACATCTTAAGTTAGTTTACTTATCACCGTACTATCAGAATGACCTAGATGGCAAACCTACATTAATTATGTAGCTAGTCGCCTGCATTTTTTAATTCATTTACTACAGCTACGCAGCATTTCATGTGAAAATATACATTTTTAAACACAACAGACACAGTTGGATGGTGATTTACACTCCGAAGTGTTTATCCAAATTGTGTCACAGGGGACTGAAGTCTAGCTAACACAACAAGCGGGGGATACCCTAGACAGGTAGCCAGTCCATAACATGTCTAACTCAACGAGAGACAGCAGTTTCCACCATTTAATCCAAAACTAAAGCCAATTTATAATCATCAGCCAACTTAACCTTTGTGTCTTTGAACTATGAGATAAAATTGCACCAACCAGAATAAAACCCATACAATTATGCAGGCTCTGTGAGAGAGTGCAAAGAGCTAACCAGCAGATTTAAACTTTTATGAAGCAATAACGTTCTGCACCTGCTGCTTCAAAATATGCTAAAAGGGCCTGTGATGTGTCACATGTGGCTTTGACTTCTGACTGAACTTTAAGTAGAAAATGCATACATATTGTGCATCGTGATTCAACTTTAAGAAAAAGAGATTTAGCTGGTGTAGAGCATAGTCCTAACCCTACAGTAGCTCTCCTTTTTAAGATATTACTTTTTGTAAACAAGAATTCCTGCACCCTCGCCACCCCCCTTTTGACTAGCATGTTTTAAGCATGTAGTCCCTCTATGCTCCACTTCGTGAGCATGTTTACAGAAGCTGTTAATGTGTTTACACTTCCCCATTTTAATTTGCACATCCTATGCTACTTCTGCCTTACAGACTCAAATTCTCTTTACTTAACATTTGGACATGATTGCCTTGCAAATTTGAAAAACCTCAAGTGAGCAACTTCGGGAACACAAATGCAAACAAAAGCCAAATTTTTTTGACAAACACGAGTGTCTATCTATGAACACCGACTCAACCGAACCATGAACGCGACAATCATCTGTCACATGGGTTTATAAAACATGTTAACCATGACTGTGGTCATACTTGGGGAACCAAGTTTATGACAACGTTGAAGACATTCAGGAGAGCGCATTAACATGTTTCATCCTCAAAAATGTTCAACAAATCTAACTGCAGTGTTGCACTTCGCCGGGTCAATTCATGAATCATTACGAAACACACAGCCAAACATTTTGGGTGTCATGTCCCGATTCCAGCCCGAGCTTATATACATCTGTGTAGCCAGGCTGTCAGCTTCAGTTACTGAACAACTGTATGTCAAAAACAGGACGTGGCTTATTCTTTGCAGACCAGGCCAAATTATTGTCCACTGATCATGTGAAAATGTACGAAAGAGATATGGCAGGAACAGCATTACAAGAATGTCGTTATGAACTTCCTTGCTTCCTCCATTTAAAAGGCATCAGTGTGGCATTGTGGAAGTAATGAGACTTCAAAGAGCTCAAACACTTTGTTTATTAATCATGGTCAATGGAAAAACGAACCTTTTAAGTGTATTACAATTGTTAATGTCTTTTATTTTTAGGCATATGAATCTATGCTGTATAGACTACATTGTTTTACCGTGCAACATATTCCACTATCATGATTCAGAAATTAAAAACTATACAAATATTCATGCATATGTAAAAATAAAAACACCTTGATGATTTGGCTGATAAAAATGACTGAGTCTACCAAACTGAGCCGTGACTGTTGGAGAACTTAAAAAAAAAAAAAAAAAAAAGAGCCAATATTACCAACAATGTGTCCCAATTCCATTAACCTTCTCCAGGCCTCCAAGCGCTTAGTGCTAACACTGGTACCCAACCCTCAGTCAAACATAATTCATGCATGCGCTGGTACAAGGTCACAACTGCTGAATGCTCTATGTCAGCATGTGTTAAAGCTTCTGACTTGAAGTAAAATGCTGATCCCCTCAGAACTAAATTACATTCCCTTGATCTTTCTGTCTCTCTCTCGCTCTCAGGTGATTCTACACCTGGTGTGATTATGTTGATTTTTCCACATGAATGTCAAGGTATTTTACAGTTTGAAGACAAGTTGGAGCTGGTTGAATTTTGGGGGATTTTTGCTGCAAACAGCCATTTTAAGTGCTTTCTCACACAACTTTAGTGAGACAATGTCCCCTAAACGTTTTCAATGTTGAAAGAGTAATAATGATTCCTCACAGCAGGAGAAGGTAATGTGGTATTATGATCAGTGTCTATATGCTAAATAGAGTCAATCCATGTTGTAGGCCAAGCAGCGATCATCGTCTTGCTACACTTGTTTAGTCCCAAAAAGGCATGAAAAAAAAAAATGAAGGGGACGAACGAGCTGTGTAAATGTTAAGTACCTTTCAACTATACACCTCCACACTGGCACACAGCGAACAATGTCTTGTACGCATAAAACTGATTAAAATTTAAAAAAAAAAAAAAAATGACTGTCTTAGATTATGATGTGAAATTCAGGGCTTGATATCGGCCAAAACTGAAAATCTTACTAAACGCATTTCTGTAGCTAATACTTCTGATTTTAGTTTAGAGTATTACTTTACCTAATTAGCCGAAAGGATGTGGCAGTGCAACAACAGAGACAGGAACAGGATCTGATGTTAAACTTGTTTTAAAATAAACCTTTAATGCTGTAGCACTTAATACAGGAAAGCTAAATTAAGAATACTGACTTTACACATTGACACATGCCCCAACTGTAAAACCACGGCCTGATTAGCAATTTGCCTATAAATAAATTGACAATCATTTTCTTTATCCACCAGAGAAAAAAAACAAAACAAAAAACAACCATCTCTTCATCATGAAAAAATAAAGTGATTTTAGCTCTTCGTCGCACTATCACTGAGCATTCAGACAGCACAAAATTGATGTGACAACAGATAAACATTAGCCACTGCAACAGGTACAGGTACAGCAAGTAACAGAGAAATCAGCCTCTCGGTTTTGATCAAAATTTAACTTAGTTCTACGTGGGAGGTGTTTTCAAGGAGTAATTGCGTTATAGTTCTGCAGGTCTTGGTCAGTGGTATCCGTTGGTTTGTGGGTTCACTTTAGATAATACTAAATATATTTCTGCTGCTATTTTACGCAGTCCCATGGAGTAAAATCACTTTGGCACGTGAGGTATAGCTTCTTTTTTTTTAAGGTAAGATAATCCTTTATCTGGCTGTTTTTCTTCCAGTCAATCAGTTTCTATAAAACCATATTAACATGGCAAAATAATCCCTTCTGTAAACTGCAAGAGCCAGAGTGATAGGTGGCAGGTAGTTTAATGTGTGGCAGATCAGATCAGCAGCCTCCCCCTTCTTTCTTGTTTGGTCTGCATGAGACAAGCTTTCTACAGAAGTGTTGAACATTCACAGAAAACAGGGTGATAATAAAGATCAACGTTTCATTGCCACTTGTGTTCTTGTCTGTGCTAATTGAGGCCCGACTAAGCAAAACACACTTAAATGTGCTAGTAGTTCTGCAAAGGCATCATAGTTTATAATGCCGTCGCGTTGGAAGTTAAGAAACAAAAAAGCCGTGTGTGAATCTCACAGGAAACTGGGGTCAAACTGTTGCAGGCTTTTTTCCGAGAAGTAAAGCTGTGAGATGACTCTCCCCTGGTAAAGACCATAGCTGGACACGTAAAATGCGTACTTTTCTTGTTCTCTAAACAATTTTCAAGGGTTGACAGACAGCTGACTATAGATTTTTCATAAACGAGCTACAGGAGACACTGTTGCAGTGCTGGGAGCCCTTGTATTTCAATTTCCTGTCACAAAGTCGTTAGTTTTCTTTCTTTTTTGGCCTTTTTACCTGATTCTAACTTCCTTGTTAGAGCTAAAGATTGTGATATACCTTAAAATATTTAGCCGTGGTCAAACAATGTAACGCTATGCACCGCGGTTTCACAACTAAAGAGTAGTTACCCGAAAGTGTTAACAACCCTGCCAAGTAATAAACTAAGCCTTCCTATGCCAGTTAATATTAAGCTGCTACGAAAGTGGCGTGCCACATGACGAACAAAACAAGAGTTCAGGTTATCTGTGAGCTAAAGTTAGCTAACCATATCCTGTACCAGCCTGTTAGCTAACTTAGCAACAACAGACCTTCAGCAGGCGAAGATTAGCTAGCTTATCGCAAGTTAGCTACGGTTAGCTAGCAGTCGCTCTAGCCATCCGACGCGTAAGCAAACGCTAACGGCTTAACGTTGACAAACCTTGTCCATTAGTTTCCAGCATTTCTCCACCGTCTTTTTGTCCACGGCCCCGGGCTGGTGATGGGAGTGGAGGTGGTGATGGTGTGGCTGGAAGGCATCCTTCATCATTCCGATGATCCCCCCGCCTTTCTTCAGGTTCCCAGCCATGTTCGGGCTCGGCTAGGGTCGGCCAGAGCGGCAGACAGGCGAGGTGAGGCAGGGCAGGGGGTCAGGGGGACCGAACCGCCGCCTGGAGTTGGTTGGACCGGGCGATCCCGTACCCCCTGTGAGGACAGCGCCCGAGCGGCGAATCCGAGCCAGGGTCCGACGGGGGTAAAATGAGGGAGGAAGAGATGACTATTGGATAAAGGCTCCCATCAGTAAATATAACATGATTATTTGGTAGATAAATGTCCAGATTGTGGATAAAACAAGCCCAACGGTCACTCACACCCTGCACAAGTCCCCCTCTGTGCCGCAGCTAGCTGGCTGCGTTGCTCAGCGTCTCCCTCTCTCTCTGCAGGGACCCACGCAGGCTAATTAACGGAGCACCAGACCTGGCTCCTCTCGCCCTCAGCTGGAGGACAATGGCAACGGTTTCTTCGCAGGACTCGAGCGTGTCCTCGCCTCCGTCCAAGCCGCGATGTCGTTCCTCTCTTTTGTCAGCAGCAGCTCTTTTCGGCTGTGCCGTGTCTTCAGGGGAAGTTCAGAGGCTGTGTGACACTGTCAGCACTCCTCTGCGGGCTGCGAGGCTGACGACACAAAGCGCTCAGCGACGACCGAGGAGAGGAAGTTGAACTTAAAGCTGCGAAAGCCTCACGGTCATAGACGGGAACTAGGGTGAATAAATAATTATGGGATTTAAACATTGCCCAGCATTTTCTGTTTCCCCCCCTCTGACGTGTATGTGCGGCCCTTTCCTTTCCTGTACGTCCTCTTCCGTTAACCCCCACCCTCTCGTCTCTCTCCCCGCTGCCCAAACCCTAAACTCCCCGCCTTCTTTTTAAAGCGCGTTCTCGATAATGAATGTAACCGAGCACGCGCGTCTGCCTGTAGAGCATTCATAAAATCTCAGTGAGATGCTGCTGAGTGCATCTCTGAGTTCTCCCAGCTCGGGCCTCGGTAACCCCTAGCAACAAAAGACGCTTTCACATATACTGAAGGCAGCTGGCGCTGTGCGCGTTTCCCAGTCATGTGTGACTGGCTGTTGTAAAAGTCACTCAACTATCAATTAAACCGGACACTATGTTTTATGGCTGCTCACTCAGCAACCAGTGCACAGCAACAGAGTCTCACCACCATACAGTAAGCGTAGGCCCTCTGTGTGTCTGTGCGTGTCCGTGGGTTGAACAGGCAGCCTCGCAGCAAGCAAGCAAGCATGTCCCCGAAGAAGAAGACAAAAAAGACCGCAGCGAAAAGTCCAGAAAAATGTAATCGAGATCCTTTTTTTCTTTCGTGACTGCAGATCTTCTATTTCTTACACATATTTCTGTGTTGTTACAGGTCAAAATGACGTGGAAGAAAAGCATAGGCACAGTATTCTGGATATAGCCATTCTGCAGGATCACATAGGTGAGCCTTGAGGTTTTATTCTTTTATAAATAATAAAAACAGATTGTATGATTATTACATAAAGGGTCAAACTGAATATGACTCTTAGCAGATCCATTCCTTGTCATGTCTGTTCCCTTTTAAATCGCTGATGTCCCATGTTATTGGGTTGTATATAGATTTTAAGTGAGTTATTAAGAGATCAGTCTTTTGGCCCATAAAAGGATGGAAAACAGTAAAAAAAACAAAAAACATGTAAGTTGTTAAATTTCTAAAAGCAAGACAAGTGGAAATGAAAGCCCGCATGTTAAAACTTGACTGCATATTTGGGCATGTTTAATGGATAATTTAGTTTGCATCAATACAAGTTTTGATAAGAAAGTAATTTCCACTTTTGCTTATGAAAACAAACAAACAAAAAACAAAGAAAGCTCCCTCTGGTTTGTACGTTCAATGCCTGCATGTGTTTGTGTGACATCCTGCAGCCTTACAGTGTGAGGCTTTAAGAAGGGTCCAGTCAGACAGAGCTGACCTGAGGAGACGTGTAAGAGACATGGAACAGAAGCTGCAGCGCGAGAGACAAGACCACAGGGACATCTACTGGGGTGGGTACAGACGGGGCACGAATCCAAAATTAGTCCGTCTTTTAATAACCTGATCAAAGTGCGGATCCCTTTGGGAGTGAGGACAAGGGGTGTGTTTGCCGAGGTTAGGGTAATTTTTGAGGAACAAAAAATCTAATTAGCCGGGCGCTTAAGCTGATTGCTGTATTAGCTTTTCAAAGTGAATCAGCAATGAAGTCTGTAATAGCTGACGCAAATGTCATTCTAGACCTCAGTCGCCAGTACAAAACCATGCAGACCGAACTGACCAACAAGGTGAAGAAACTGGAACAGGAAGTCAGCCAACTGAAGGAAGACCTTGGTATGGTCTATCTATATTTAAAGTATAATCAAACAAATGGATCCATATAAGAGTTTACTCTCTCTATTTGTATAGTCCTATCCCAGGAGGAACTGAGTAAAGAGAAAAGTGAGCGTAAGCAAGGGGAGAAGGAGAAGGATGCCATCATAGCAGACCTTCGACAAAAGCTGGACAACATGGAGTCAGACTATGAGAAGATCCTTCATGTGAGTTTCAACACAAGGCAGTTCAAGCACACACTGTGGCAACAATACGCATTTGAAAACCTACATGTATACAAAAATACCCATTTGAGGTAACCTTTTGCACAATGTGGGGCAGCTTTGTCTTGTATGTGCAGTTAGGCCAACCCTCAGAGAACTTGATCTCAGAGTTAGTTCCGCCAAAGTCATGGGAAGGTACTAGCACTTCTACTTGTTGGTCAGACCTGCAGCTTATGTGTGACTCTTGAAAGAGCAGTGTGATGACACCAGTTTCTTGAAAGTCGAGCTCCTGAATGTATGATTGCTTTGAGCAGATAATTCAGTCTAAAATGACAAACTAAGCAAACGCTAATAGAGCCGTCATGGATGTTTTATATGAGTTAAGTGACTTAAAAATGATTCGTATGATATTATGATGATGCTGATGAAAACTGTTGCAGTTTATGTCTAATAATCTTAGGTCAGAAATACTAAAAAACTAGATGGAGTGTACAGTATAGATGTGGTTTAATTCTTCCCCCATAAAATGACATTTGCAGACTTCCCCATATCCTCAACGACAAGTTTTGACACCTTAGTACATATCAATAAAGATGTCCTTTTATGACCATTAGAGTAGTTTGGGTTTTTTTTCCCAAGGGTAGCTGCACAGGCAGAGAATGTCCTCACTAACTTCTGATGCAAAGTGAGTAATTTTCTTCTATAAGCAGGCCTGAAATATGGTGCTTAGTTCAGAAAACTTACTGCGCCATTACAAACTTTGCAGCATTACGGAACTATCAATGCACACAACACCAGAAATTATGCAATCAACATGACCGAGAAACTGCTGTAAAAAAGAAGCCACAAATAGTACTGTAGAAAAGTATTCGCCCTCTTCCTGATTTCTTATTTTTTTGCATATTTGTGACATTTACATGTTTTAGATGATCAGATTTTAATATTAGACAAAGATGACCAGAGTATATACAAAATGCTGTTTTTAAATGATGTGTTTATTTATTATTCAAACCTATGTTAAAAAAAAAGGTAGTGCCTCCTAAAGCTAAAAACTGGTCAGGCCACCTTTGGCAGCAAAAACTGCAAACTGGAGGGATTTTGAGACACTCTTCTTTGCAGAATTATTTTCATTCATCTATATTGGAGGGTTTATAAGTATGAGTAGTCTATTTAAGGTTGTGCCAAAGCATCTCTGTTGGATTTAAGTCCAGATCTTGACTAGGCCACTCCAAAAGCTTTATTTTGTTTTGTTTTTTTTAGTTTGTTTTTTTTTTTTTAGTTATGATCCTGTCTGTGTACTTGTTGGTGTGTCTACATATCACTGTCCTGGGGTGTTTGAGCTTCAGGGCGTGACCTAATGGCCGAGAGCAGAATTCATCATTCCATCAATTACAGCAAGTCGTCCAGGTCCTGAAGCCGTAAAGCTGCCCAAAACCATCACACCACAAAACCACGTTTGATTGTTGATATGATGTTCTTTTTATGAAATGCTGTGTTAGTTTTATGCCAGATGTAATAGGGAACCTCCAAAAAGTTCAGCTTTTGTCTCGTCAATCCACAGAAAATGTTCAAAAAGCCCTTGGGGTTCATCAAGATGTCGCTTGGCAAATGTGATATGAGCCCCTCCTTTTTCAGCAGTGGTTTTCTCCTTTGGATGCCATTTTTGCCCAATCTGTTTTTATTGTTGAATCACGAATTCTGACCATAGCTGAGGCAAGTGAGGCCTGTGGTTTTTTCGATGTTGTTCTGGGTTCTTCTGTGACCTGGATGAGTCATCGAAGTGCTTTTTTTGGTAGACCTGCCACTCCTGGTAATGTACAACCCTGTTCCAAGTTTTCTCGATAAAGTTTTTTTCCATAAAGTCCTAAAGCCTTATAATGGATTTGTAACCCTTTCTAGACTGATAGATGTCAATCACTTTGTTTCTCAGTTGTTTTCTGTCAATCGTGGCATTTGCCTTGCCATCTGCCTTTTAGCCTGCTACATTTTGTCAGACAGGTTCTTGTTACTTGATTCAGCAGCTATGTCAGCAATTTAAACTGGGTGTGGTAGGTGAAACTGAACTCAGCTTTTTGTTTGGGTTATGTTCATCTAATATTAGAGTTTGTTTTATGACCCGAAACATTTAAGTGAGACAAATATGAAAAAAAAAAACACTTCCTGGGAGTTTTTTCCATTAAGATGTAATGGATGAGGAATGGGGTCATTGTTGACCTTTTCGCTAGCGCCCTAGTCCGACTGGCTGGCTACAGACAGTGCATGCAAATTTTCAGGGCTCAGATCTTCAAAGGTAAGTGGTCAAGCTTAGAGCCCTGTTCGAGGGCTCAGCCTCTGATCGCAGAGATAGGATTTTAATATGTAATTAACATTATTCCTCTCTTCCCAAGTATGACACAGAATCTAATTAAACCTCTTTCAGTGCACCCTTACAACTCATCAGCGATAAAGGTAGTTAAGAAGGGAGGGAAATCAGGTTGGACAAGTCGGTGACTTGAAGGGAAAATCTTAGCTTGCATTTTAATGCTGCCCATGTTTTCTGCAGGAGACTCTCGACAGCCTGAGTTCCCAGCTGTCTGCAACTCGACAGGGTTGGAAAGACGAAAGCGCAACTCTTCATCAAAAGTACAAGGAGCTGCTCTCTGAATTTGGCCTAAATGCACTGGATCTTTAAAATACAGGAGTCTGACATATACATTAAGAACAGCAGCTATTGCTCAGTGAGATGTGTTTGTTTAATGCTGTAGCTACAGCACTGACTCTGTTTGATCTGCTAGAGTGCTGTGTATGGCTCACCTGTAAATGTATGGATGTTAATGTATATTTTACCAGCAGAATACAGAATAGGAAGTAGATCACCATGTAGTGGCATGTAGCGCCCACTAGATGTAGCAAATGACTGCTTGTGGTCAGGAAGATGGTGGCCACTGACACTCAGTTGCTATTAGAGCATTACAGTGTGTATACTGTATTTTATATGAATATTAGTAGTACAGTAAGTATTTTGTTGTTTATATAGAAGAGCGCAAAATCCCAAAAAGCTGCATAAAACATTTGGGGGTTACAATAAAGTGGTGAAAATGAATAAAGCTGTTGGTGAAAAAACTGTAACTATTGTGATTTCACAACAAGTATGCATGCTAGCAGAGATGGCAGTGTAGATAGAGTTCTCTGTGGCAGCCTTTGAGAGGCCAAATATGGTAAAAGACAACGAGGGAGACGTGAAACAAATGCACGATGTAAAGAAAACCACAACTAATGCTCAGTATCAAGCAGATTAATACTAAGCAATAACAAGAGAAAGGCAAGGGGGAAAAAAAAATTAATCATGCAGGAAATATGATTCAGCTGCCCCGCATCAATAAAACCTGACTTTCCCTGCAGGGAGCGAGATAAACACATTTTATTTTCAAGGCTGTCACTTGTGCATCTTTTTTCGTGGCCCAGTGCATTTTTTTAGTCTCTCATCTGTGGGGTAATGAATCATTTACTCGGGGATTAAGATAATTCTGTGCTCTGACGGCCAATTAACGCAGGAACTCAAGAGGCCTTTATCAGAAAACCAATATTTCCTCCTCACACCACCAGGAGCTGTTGCCCGTTTCAGTTTGTTTAGGGCTTAATGGGGTCGACTGCAGTAGTTAAAATGAGAATGGCATAGTGCACCTGTTAGTGGAGGTGCAGAAACATAACGATTGGCACATTGTGCCTTATCTTCCCATAGTGGAAATGTTATGAGCCCTGCAGCAGTCAGTGATGTAAGATGTATTAGCGAGCACCGATAAGTCAAATACAGTTTAAGCATCAAAAAGAAAAAAAATATTTGTATTACATAGAATACTGTGCAAAAGTCTTGAGCTACCCCCATATTTTTGGCATTTTCCTTCCTAGGAGTCAGATTTTTATTAAAAGTGGTCTTGAGCAATATTTCTCCAGGCTTTCTGAAGGTCGTTAGAGTTTTTCTTTGGACTTTAGCTGCTTTTTCACTCATTTTCAATCCAGTCCATTTTCAGCAGACTGTTGTTTTGTTTGTAAAGCCACTTAAGACTGAACCACAAATCATTTAATCACAAAATTTGTTCCCATTTCTTCAAATTGCTGAAAACATGCTAAAGATACTAAAGTTTGACAGGGATAAAATAGTATTTTATTAGCCAATAAGTTGATCCCTAAAGAGCTATTAGCTGAAAACACTGCATATGTCTGCATGTGTAGTGTGTCCTTAAAAACTGGAGAAATGGTGGCCCTTCAGTAGATCCATCTGTTGTTTGCTAAAGCCTCATCAGAAACGGTCTCAGTGGAAGGGTGGCTGTCAAGTAGTCATTTTTAAAGAAGGGAAAGAGGGAGATGAGTCTGAGGTATGGAATGAAAATCAGAGGCAACAGGTCTTTATAGAGAGATGAGTCCAAATTTGAAAGTGTTGGTAGAACAGTGAATGTCTACAGCCATCTGTGAAACATGCAGGAGTCATGGATTGGGGCTGTATTTCAGCCAGTGGTGTTGGGAATCTTGTCATGTATGAAGGGAGAGAAGTACTTTCACATTTTGAATCCCCATTCAATACCATCTGGAAAGTATCTGATTAGAAGTAGCTTCACTTTTCGGCATGAGAATGATCCTAAACGCACTGCCAATGCAGTAAAAGCATACCTGGACAGAAAAACACCAATTTAGAGCTTTGTATGGCCAATACATGCACAACATTTAGACCAATGTACTTCATATATATACACACACACATATATATATATATATATA